GTCGTTTATGCTAATGATTTCCTGCTGGGCTTTTTCTACAAAAAGAGCCCTGAGCAGAACAATGGGGGGGGGGTTGGGCACTTGACATGCCAGGCATCCTGCTCCTGCCTGAAAGCCATCAGCTGGTGGCAAGGCCAAGCTTCTCTGCTGCCACAGGAAGGGGAAGGACATCTGAGACTCCAGAAAGGCCAGGCCCCAGGCCCCCAACTGAGATAAAACAGACACCAGCTCAAGGTGTTACTGGACTCATAATGTTCTACTGCAGAACACCACGGCTACCCTCTGAAGTTGCCATGAAGGAGACAGTGAGGACCTAGAACAAGAGAAGATAGGAGAGATTGGGTTTATACCCCTCCCTTCACTGCCCGAAGGAGTCTCAGAGTGGCTTACAATATCCTTCCCCTTCCCCTCCCCACAACAGACACCCCCTGTGAGCAGTGTTCCCTCTAAGCTGAGTGAGTGCGAGCTAGCTCACAGTTCTTTAGCCTCCAGCTCACACATATTTGCCTTAGCTCAGGAAGGAGGGCCCCAGAGCAGACTAATTTTATGCAGCGGCCAAATCGCTCGCTCACAACTGTAATGCCAGTAAGCTCACAGAGTAGAATTTTTACTCACAAGACTCCACAGCTTAGAGGGAGCATTGCCTGTGAGGTAGGTGGGGGCTGAGAGAGCACTTTCGAGGACTGCTCTTCTGAAAACAGTTCTGAAAGAACTTGTGACTGATCCAAGGTCACACCAGCAGCTGCATGGGGAGGAGTGGGGACTCAGACCCGGTTCTCCCAGATTAGAGTCCATGCTCTTAAGAGCCAGGTGTAGTGGTTAAGTGGGCGGACTCTAATCTGGGAGAACAGGGTTTGATTCCCCACTCCTCCACTTGCACCAGCTGATGTGACCTTGGGTCAGTCACAAGCTCTGGTACAGCTGTTCCTGAAAGAGCCGTTTGTGTCAGAGCTCTCTCAGCCCCACCCACCTCACAGGGTGTCTGTTGTGGGGAGGGGAAGGGAAAGGAGTTTGTAAGCCGCTCTGAGACTCCAAGTGAAGGGCGGGGTATAAATCCAATCTCTTCTTCTTCTTAACCACTACACCGAACTGGACCCAGAGCAAGGGATGCTACACCAGAGAGACCAGTGCAACGGATGCTAGAGAATCCCAATTCCTGGAGGCTATAACTGGGACTGGGGGAAAGCAAGTGTGGCTACCAGTTTGGTGTTGTGGTGAAGTGCGCGGACTCTAATGTGGGAGAACCGGGTTTGCTTCCCCACTCCTCCACTTGCACCTGGCTGAATGACCTTGGGCAAGCCGTAGTTCTGATAAGAGCTGTTCTTTAAAAAGAGCAGTTTCTGCCAAGAGCTCTCTGAGCCCCACCTACCTACAAGGTCCCTCCCAACTCTAACATTCTATGATTCTATAAGAAGAGTGCATGCACCCGACAGCTTATACCTTGAATAAAGCTTTGCTGGCCTTAAAGGTGCCACTGGACTCAACTTCATGCACACTTCATCAGAACATGTACATGCACACATGGAAGCTTATACCCGGAAGAATTAAACTTTGTTGGTCTTCAAGGTGCCACTGGACTCCAATTTTATTCCACCTCTCTAGTAGATCTTACTTATGTTTATTAGCGTCTATGACCAAAGGTCTTAAGCTCAATTATAAAAGACAAGAGGGGACCCGCAACAAAATGTTGCTGGAGCCTGAGCCCTCTCCGGCATGGTTGAGGCAGGTGGGGCAGGTGGTGGCTGGCTGGCTTTGGTTGCTCCTCCTGTGTGCCGCTGCTCCTGCTGCCAGTACTGCTTTCTCCTCTCCCTCACCTAACAAAAAGGGAGGGAAAGTATATGAGGCAAAAAGCTGGCGGGGCAGCCCACCTAGCGGCCGCTTAGTGCTGTTTGCATGCCCACTGAGCTTAGCCACTACTCCAGTGCTGCTCCTTTGAGTAGAAGCCCACGGTGGCCACTGACGGGGTGCAGGACTCCAGCTGTGGGGGGAGGGGGGAGAAGAACGGTGGCCCCCGGAGTCCCCCTACCATCCTCCTGTTTACTGGCAGTCCTGGGGATGGTTCCTGCAGCGACATGGACGGGTCTTGCTACGGCAGGCCAAGCAGCAGCTGG